TCGTTCATCGTCACTTGCATACAAATCCCTCTGCTTATAATGGGTAAATGCATTTTCTTGCCACTGAATTATTGTAGATTATAAGGATATCCTAGCAAGTGTTGCATGCTTCTATATACGTTTGCAGGGAACATCATCAACTATAGGCAAGTTGATGTATTCATTGCATGTTCATTTACTGTTGTTTATAGAAGTTCATAGGTTTTCTGTAGTTGATTATAAGAGAAACATTGTATACTCTATGAGTTCATGTTCATGCCTTTAAGCAGATCGCTCTAACCATTACAAGTACCCTTTGTTGATGTTTGTAATTTATTTGTGATTGCATTTTCACACTATTGAGATTTCAACACAAATCCTCCATTCATCCTTTTTTTTTTGCATAATCAAGGCTTTTAATTAACATTTATATTTTAATATGAGATGTGTGTTTATTAATTAAAAGTCTCAACCCTTCTTTTTCATTTGAGTTTGGTTTCTTTTTGTCCTTTTTCAAATTTGAAAGTCCCATGTCAATTATTCAAGTTCAGATTCTCTGTCATTGAAAAATTCAGCAGCCTCCCAACGTCTCCTATGTTTAGGAAAAATTTCAAGAGTATGGGTCATCCCACCAAACTACGAGAGCATGTATGAGATGTATCGGGTGACATCACGGTTGTGCTCTTCAATTCCATCGCGCTACAAGAGCGTGTACAATTTTCGAGGTATCTATTTGAAAACGCAATTTTTCCTTGCCGATACTAAGGCGAGTACGGGTATTTAGAAGTGTCCCTGTCATGCTACATAAGCGTGTCCAAGGCCTACCCACATTGATGTAAACTTTGCACCAGGATCCCTCCTACCGTGCTACGTGAGAGCGTATAGGTGATCATCCGGATCGCTGTAAACATCGAAAGTGGAATTTTAGTGGATTTTGAGTTTGAGAACTGTTTTACCTGCATTGAGTGGCTTTTGAGTTTGAGAACCGTTATACTTGTGAGACGAGATGACGATGACAATGAGAATTTATAAAATGTCCCCTCTCCCCCCTTTTATATTTTTCTTGTTCTTTCCTTTTCTCTCATTTTTTATATATATTTTCTCTCTTTTTAAAATCTTTTCTTTCTTTTTGTGTGTGTAAATGTATGTATTTATATACAATAATAATAAGGGCATTGGCGGCTACATCTCGGACTGAGTCGCCGACAGATTTCCAGAGGCCAATCTCGTCACCAGCATCCTTGGCTGGGCCTGCAGCAAGGGCAGTGACGGAGCCCAGCACCAAGCTCAGCCAGCGGTTGAAGGAGCGGCCAACATTGGTTACTAATAAGATATTAACAGTGTTTCATCCTAGTCGTTCTCGATATCGGAGTCTTCCACGACAAAACCCTATGCCAAAGGCCAATCGCTACGGCGACAGCGGGATGAGAAAGCGTGGTTTCTGGTGGAGCTTAATATCCGCCTAAATCGTCTGCTTTCGCCTCATCAAAGAAGGCGAGAAGATGCGGTTCATGAAAGTCTTCATCAACGGCATTTCCTCCGGATTTCCTCTGGTTAAATTTCTTCTGCACCCTTCTTATGGATGCTAGTCGTTTGCATGATCAGGATTTTCTAGATGGGATTTCGCCGTCACAATCTTTTCGGGAGGTCATGTTCAAGACCTCCTCCGTGTAGAGTTTTTCGGCTTTGAAAGTTTCTTCCTATCACGGTCTTTCTTCTTTATTGATTTCTAATGAAGAATTGGATGCCCTAGCTACGCCTTTTGAGTTTGCCTTAGTCGGGAAATTTCCCGGCAGTCGTCCGTCGCTGGAATCTATTCGTAAATTTTTCTTCATTCTTAAGCTGAATGGCGAGTTCTCTGTCACTGTTCTCAACAAAAATAATATTTTAATCAATCTTAGGAATGATTTGAATTAATGTCGAGTTTTTGTTCATACTTCCTATTTTGTTAACAACTGTTACATGAAGTTGGTTAAATGGTCTCCGCGTTTTGACGTTTGTGTAGAATCTCCTATCATTCCGATTTGGATTTCTTTCCCTAACCTTCGCCCTCATATGTTCTCTTCTCGTATTCTTCAAGGGTTGAGGTCCATTTTTGGTCGACCCTTAAAGACTGATAACGCTACTGCCAATAGATCTAGACCGTCAGTTGCTCATATACTTATTGGGCTAGATATTACTAAGCGGTATCCGGATCAAAGTTTGGCTTGGTTCTGAAACTTTGGGTTATGCCCAAAATGTGGAAATGGAAGTTTTCCCCTTATATTGTGGTCATTGTAAAGCTTTGGGTCATTCAAAAGCTGAATATAGTGTTGCATCCTCATCCTGCTGTTGTCCCCGCACATGTGAGTGGTTCGGTTTTGGAACCTATGGCTCATTTTGTTGCTGAGATTGATAAGGTAGTTTCTGGTATTTGTGTCAAATCTTTGGCACATGTGGAGTTGGGGTTGTCTGCAGATGCTATTTGTTCTCCTCTGATAATGCCTAGTGCTGTCAACTTCAATAACTCGGATGTTGTTGCAGTGGTTGACATGACGCAAAACCCCTTGGTTGTTGATGTTGATCCTATGGATACATTAGTTGCACCGGTTGTTGTGCCTGAGTCGGTTGCACCTTCCTGCACTACCCCTTGCTTACTTGTTTCACCTGATGGAGTTTTGATTGCTGGCAAGCTAGGTGATGTGTGTGTGGCAGCTGATGCTCCTTCGGTTTGTATAGATGGTGAGGGTACCTTGCCTACTATTGTGGGTTTGGTGAAGAAGATTGATGGTAGGGGTGTGGGTGGATTTGAGGTTGATGATGGCGGTGAAACTGGTGCTATTTTGGATACTACTGTTGTTTTTTGTGCTCTTTATGTTGGAGATGTTCCCTTGTCTAAAAGTTTTGAAGAGTCACTTTTGAATGTGCCTTTAACCCTTGTTTCCAAGGATGATTTGCATACTCACATTTCGAGGGATAGTGAGATGATGCAGGGTGACCGGTTACATGCCGACAATTCCTCAGCGGATGGTGAAGATTTTTATGAGGATGATTTGGCTTCAAGAACGAAATTTTTTAAAAGAAGTGGAAAATGTAGAGCTCGTAATTCTAAAAAGAAGTGATGCTCTTTTTGGTCTTGATCTGGTTTTCATGGACATTTGTTCTTGCTTTTGGGAGTTGTTTTAGAGCTGGCATTGATGTTGATGGAGTCTTTTTGGATGTTAGAGCTGATTTGATTTTGTTTGGTGTTGGTTTAACTTGTTTCCAGTTTTTTTTTTTTTCCTATGTTGTGTGATTGAGCCTTGTTTACCTCTGCTTTGTGTTTCTGTTTTTTTAGCTTCTTTTGTTTGATCTAGTCTTTAGTTTGAATTTATGGCTCATAGGTTTTCCTTTAAATGATATATTTCTAGAGGGTTTTAGATTCTTTAAAAACTTATATCCTTATTTTGTTTTAACTTGTATGCCCTTTCTGTGGGTTTTTTGAATATATATATAATTTTGCCTTATGAGGAGTCGGTTGAGGGCTATATATGAGTGGAATTTAGATGTGGGTTTGGCTGTTGAGTTGGTTGGTTGGGTGGTAAGGGCTTAGGGAAGAAGCCGGTTGGAGGGAGGCAGCTTTGAGGTTCAATTGAGGCTGTGAGGAGTAGTTGGCGAATGGTCTAGGTCGTGGATTTCAGTTTCTTCAGTTGAAGAGGGAGATCTGGCCTGCTTTAGAGGGTGTCAGGTGTAAATCAATACTAAAGGCGTAAGCAAGGTGGAGTTCTGGATGTAGGATGGGAGGCTACAGGTGTTCGTGGGCTGATTGAGGTCAGTTTGTGTTTAGGGTCAGCAAGAGCTGCTCACAATCAAGAAATTGACACAGTGAAGAGCCAAAAGGAATGATTGGTTGGTTATGGGGAACAAACAGGATGCTTTGCTATTGAAATGAAGGGTTGGAGGTCAAGGGACGGTCGAATCGGATTGTGGATCGTGGAGATCGTGTACGGAAGGTTGGATTGAAGGTCGTGGGAGTTCAACAGCGAAAAGAATCAAATGCAGGGGCTTCGCTCGAAGGAATGCATGTAATCAAGACAAGCTCGCAGGACTAGCAGGAAGAGATGCCAACGGCGCCGGACAATAGGTAAACGAGATTTCAAGGAGGATTTGAGCGAGATTGTGCAAATTTTGCACAAGATTTCCAACATTTTTTAGTATTTTTAGCATAGATCAACATCATGCTTCTTATCGAGTTTGTCCACAAATTTTAATTAATACAATTCCTGAATATAAATAAACTAAACATATAATTATTTAAATTTATTTATTTAATAATCAAATATTATAAATATTGTTTAAACTTATTTGATTATGTAAATAAACAATCAAAGATTGAACTATAATCATATCAAATCGCAACTTGTCCAACGCTCAATTCATTGACAAATCTAATTTTTTAAATGGGTTCATATTCATTCTACTTTGAACAAATGAAAGAGAACGTCAAAAAAAAATGAAAAAACAAATGTCATAACACAATTAAACAGCCTATAAATAAAAGCTAATAGCTAATATTTCCACAAACATTATAAAGAAATTTAATATGATACTAAAGTAATAAAGTTATAAGTTTAAAGTCTAAAAAATACAAACTTTACAAGCAATTCTCTTCAAAAATGATAGCTGATAACCAGTCATGGCTATGCAAAGCTTAAAAAACTAACCTACCTCGCAAACTCTTTGCAACTCAGAATTTCAATTTCATTTCAGCTCCAGCAAGTAATTAATATAGTTTATTACAAACCATTTCATACTTCAAACAATTTCAACATTGGAATGAGCAAGTATTGCACAATCATCCTTTGGAGGAATTATTCTGTGAGGAATCGAGACAGGAAAAATCATCCACATTGCTAAGTATTTATTGAATATTTATAAATACTTAATAAATACTCAATAAATATACAATAAATCAATAAATACTCAATAAATATTCACAAAATACTCAATAATACTCACAACTAAGTATTACAAATACGCAATAAAACTGGACGGTTCTCCCCACCCGAACTCCACACATAATTATTTCTCCCATCTTTGAACTTCAATTTTTAAGAAGTATATTTGATTAATTTGACTACAAGAACCATATCGAAAAATTTAATTTCTTTTTTTCATGTTTGAGACATGCTATAATACTTACAAAATGATAATCATAATTTGCTTCCCAAAAGTCCAACAAAGACCTCAATCACTTGCACATTATTACATCTTAAGTCCTCACGAAGATCAAGTACTCTTCAGTTCGCTGAAACCACTTTGCCAAGAAATTAAAGCCTGCTAAAATCAAAACAACGAAAGATGTCAACAATATCAACAAGAAAAAAATCATTTAACCCCATGATTCATATACCTCATAATAACCGGATTACAGAACTTCCTTCTAGTCACAAAAATGGTTTTTGATACTCTCATGAGAACGCAAAAAGTAATCACGAATTGTTCTCCTTTTCAAAGAAGATGGAGGATTTAGAACTGAAGAAGGGCTATCAAATGCTGCCACTGAATCTGGGGTCCTCTGCATGTCTACTCCTTCAGCCGGGAACAAGCCAAGTTTTCTTTTCTTGAAAGACTCGGGTGTGCTACACTCTTCAAATTTAGATCTTGAGGGTGAGGATGAATTCACCATTGTTTTCTTTGAAGTACAAGAGGCATCTGCAAAGCCATTCGAATCTTCTAAGTTTAGCTTCCTAATTATCTTGGTTGGGGTTGCAGTAACTCTCTTCCGCAATGAACATGGGGATCTTGTACTGATACAGCTTTCTTTCTTGATGTTCCAGACATGGACCTGCAACAACCATGATTGTATTACATCTCAAGTGTTAACATTTCAGATTGATAACAGTTATTTATTTAGGCCCACCAACCATGTAATCATCCGAAGAAGTAGCTAGCTTCCCAACCTCTGTCGAGCACCTGATGATGAAACAAATTTATTAATAAAATGCAGGACAATGAAGCAAAAAACCCATAATAGATAGTCTAATTTAGGACTTTTGTTTCAGCGTTTTTTTTTTTTCCTTTTCCTTTTTAGAAAGAGAAATTACTTTTTCGTCGCTGTTTGGATGGGATGCTTCTATAGAAATGATTTTAGAGAACTTCATTTTTCTACTATTTTGAGAAGTTTTTTTATATTTGTTTCTCGGTTGTCTTAACTATTGTTTCTAAAACTATCTTTTACAAAAGGAGATCGAAGAACCAAATAAAGTCTTGAGTTAGGTGAATTTACATAACAAAATTCTTATGTACTTAAATTTTTAATGTAAATCTTTATATTTACTTATATAATACCCTAATCTTGAAATCACATCAAAAATGCAATTAATATTAACTTACATTAAGTTAAATACACAATTTATTGCTTATATTTTGATGTGATTCAGATATGTAAATAGATAACACTTATGTAGTATGTATTTAAATCCCAAATTTGAGTATTGGAGCTTACCAAGCAACTGCAGTTACTTCCTTTTCATGACCAGTGAGTGAGACTGGAGCACTTTCAGGCTTGTCCACCTGGTGTAAGAATTTATTAGCATTTTTCAGACTGTAGAAATGTCAAAAAGTAGACAAGCCATGCGATAAGATTGAGAATTACCCTCCAGATGTATGCATTTCCATCACCAGAACCGCTAAGAATGTGCGAACCATCAGGACTTACTGCTGACTGCACCATGACAAAAACAATGGTTGAAAGAATATGTAAAAATGCTTTTATTTTCTCACATGTAATTAATGGGCCACGTTTACAAAGATTAGCATTATTTTTAATTTAATAAATTAATAAGACAATGGGTTATGTGGTAAATGTAAGTCAATACATGAAAATTTGATAATTTGCCGAATACTTTCCTGATGGGAGAAAGAGATTGCAGCTTAATAGAGAATTTCTTGCGTGTGAAAATCAATCCAAGGAGTACTTATCCATGCTTATTTTGTGTTTGTCCTTTTCTAAAAATATAATAGCATGCATATTAATTAAATTTAGGGAATATGATCTCTTGTGCCCTAAATACATGCTATTATACGCAGATTTCTTAAGAGATATGTCATGTTTATCTCATACAGTTGTTTTCACCTAAAGACATATTCATCTCATTTCGATTTGAATTCAAAATCCTTATGACCGTGACTTTAAATAAATATATATAACCCTTTCATTATTCAAAAAGGGAATTAACAGTTTCTGGATTTGTTATGCATTACTATTGAGTTGTGTATTTTTTAAGTTTTTAAAAATCGGACTGAATCGAGCAATTTGACCAATTCAACCGTGAACCTATCAAGTACATCGTAAAAACAGCTTCTGCATCAGCCCGGACAATACCGACAATAATCACTGGTTCAACGGACGAATCGGTAAACAAACCCCTAAATTATTTAATTTTGTATTATTTATTAACGATAGCTATTTAACATGAATGATTTGTAGATGCAAATTCATAATATAAATTTAATATACAATCTATACATTTAAATTATATCTACGCATGCAATAAAAAGTAATAATAATTTATGCTAAATTTAAATTAAATGTGTTTAAATTTAAAATTATATAATATATTATCTATATATGATTTTTTTTACTTTTTAGTCATAAATTTATATTATTTTATGATTATTACATCATTATTAATTTATTTAAATAATTTAATATTTATAACATCATCTGGTTCAACTTCCAATTCAACCACAATCGAATCATTGAATATTAAAAATCTCATTCTAGTTCAAGGTTGGGTCAGGTTTTCACAGTCTTGATATTTTTTATGACTTAAATTTTTTCTTTGATGAGATTAATTTGTTGTCATATATTATAATTTATATTAATCTGTACCCTAAAGCTAAAAAAATATGATTCTCTAACTTTCTTATTCTTTAACTGGTGTTTGAGATTTTGGTGGCCATTTGTGATTTTTCTTCCATGGTTATCAGCTTAGCAATAAATAAGGTTGTCTTGAATATCTATATATATACACAAACACACTTCTGTTAAATAAGTTCCTGCAAGGATATTATCATATTTGGATTGGCACTATAATAATGTTTTAGTCATGCATTTATACTCACACTCAAGATAGAGGTACAATTAGTATTCCAAATGTAGAAAGAAATTTGAGCGCTCTGTTAGAAAGTTTAAGGAAAAATAACATTTTGTATTGCAGTATTTTATAAATCAAGGTCAATGTAGAGATTTAAACATTGGTATATCTTCCAGAGTAGCCATAGCAACTTTTATAATAAGACTCATAAATATGCAAAATATCACATAATGGACTATGTTTAGTGATTTATATGGCATTTTCAAATGAAAGTCAATTTATAAGAATGCTTGTTTGGCCTAAGGGGAGATAAATTTTTTAATAATTTTATTTGGAATAAGAGTGCAAATTAGAGCTTTTTTAGAACAACAACAACATATCCTTTAGCCCGCTACATGGGGTCGGCTAAATGAATTCTTTTTCTCCATTGTGTCATGTTAAAAGTCAAATTCTCATTTAAATCTAATAAAAAAATTAATTCTAATATTTTCTAACCAAGTCTTTTTAGGTCTACATCTACTTCTCTTAAACATAAGCCAAATCTAATACATCTATTCTCTTAACTCATCAATCAGAAGACTGACATTTTTATGTGACCAAACCATTAGAGGCAACTCTCTCTAATCTTTTATGCAATTGAAGCTACTCCAACCTTCACGTGTATGCTTGTTTCGCATTTTATTTCTAAGAGTAAATCCACGCAGGCACTCATCGACCTAAGCATCCACATACCTGCAACGCTTAAGTTAATTTTATGTTTCTCTTTTAATGACCAATTTTCAATGTCATAACGCATTGCACGACTCACCACCATCTTATAAAATTTTTCCTTAAGTTTAAGGGTTTTTTTTTCTATCACACAATAGGCCCCATTAGGGGTGTCAATTTCTTACCCGACCCAAAAACCCGACCCGAACCCGACCAAAAAAATCCGAGTTCGGGTCAACCCGTTTGTTAAACGGGTCGGGTTCGGGTTCAAAATTTTGACCAGTTTGAAAAACGGGTCGGGTCCGGGTTGACCCGACAACCCGCGGGTCGACCCGTTTAACCCGATTTCCGACCCTACTCGCCCAGTCGCCCGCACTCGCTCGCAATCCCTCCCGCAGTCGCTCGCGCTCCGCCCTCGCTGGCTCGCTCAAAATCCCGCCCGCGCTCGCGATCCCTCCCGCAGTCGCTCGAGCTCCGCCCTTGCTCCGTCGCTCGCGAAGAAGCGAACCCGCTCCGCGCCTCCGCCCTCGCTCGCGAAGACGCGAACCCACTCGACCGCTCCACCCTCGCTCGCAATCCTGCTTCACCCTCGCTCGCAATCCTGCTCCGCCCTCTCTCGCGATCCCACTAAATCCGGCGCGGGTCGGGTTGGGTCAACCCGGCAACCAGGCCAGGTTGGGTCCGGGTTGAAATGTCCGACCCGTTTGCAAAAACGGGTCGGGTTCAGGTTGACCCGTTTAGATCCGGGTCAGGTCGGGTCAGATTCGACCCGAACCCGACGGGTTGACCCGAATTGACACCCCTAGGCCCCATACATTCCTCCACAAAATATCCCCATCTCTATTTCACTATCACTCTAGACAAGAAACCTGAAATATCTAAAACTTATATTCTTATTAATGACTTGATCCCCAAAATCACAATGCCTTATTCATTCTATTACTACTAAAATTACACTCCATATATTTGGTTTTAGATCTACTCAAACGAAAACCTTTAGAATTTAAGCTTTACCTCAATAATTCAAGTTTACCCTCAACTCCCTCTCTAGTCTTATCAATAACAAGAATAACATCAGCAAAAAGCATACACCAAGGTACATCCTCCTAATAATGTCTAGTAAGAATATCGATGACTAAAGAAAAAAAAAATATGGGCTTAAAGTTGATCTTTGATGTAATCCAACTGAAATAGGAAAATACTTGGTCCAACCTTTTTGTGTTTGAACAAAAGTAAAACCTCCTACATGCATATCCTTAATGACTTAAGTAAAAGCATTATTAACCCCTTTCTTTTCTAAAATTCTCCATAGCACTTCTCTTGGAATATTATCATAAGCTTTATCTGAATCAATAAATATCATATGCAGATCCTCCATATTCTCCCTATACTTCTACATCAAACCTCTCAATAAATGTATAGCTTCCGTAGTAAACCTACTTGGCATGAATCCAAATTGATTATGAAAAACATTAGTATCACATCGTAACCTATGCTCAACAACTCTCTCCTAAAGTTTTAAAATAAGACACATTAACTTAATTCCTCCATAATTAATGCACTCTTGTGCATCACCTTTATTCTTAAAAATAGAATTAAACACACTCCTTTTTCACTCATCTATAATCTTTTAATCTTCAAAATAATATTAAAAAGTTTCATAAGCTAAGAAAATCATTTATATCCTAAGTATTTCCACACCTCTAATGAAATATCATCAAGTCTATAGCTTTTTAACATTTCATTTTCTTTAAAGTCTCACTAACTTCAATTTTACTAATACACCGATAAAAATAAATTTTTACTTTCATTTAGAGTACTATAGTCATTAAAATCAATCTTATTCTCACAATCTTCATTGAAAAAATTATCAAAATATCTCATTCACATTTGTTGAATATCATCCTCTTCTAATAAAAACACTTTTATTTTCATCCTCAATCCAATTCACTTGAATTAAATTTTTACTTCTCATATCTCTTTGTTAGGCTAACTTATACATATATCTTTCACCCTCGCTAATAACTAATATATTATATAATTTATTAAAAGTCAAACTCTTTGTAACGCATATTGTTTTCTTAGACTTATAACAGTTTTTTTTTATATCTTTCTCAATTTTTCAAGTTTGAAAATATAAACCAATTTTTATAACAAAACTTCTTGATTTTTATCTTTTACTACATAATTTAATTCCACCATCAACTATTTTTACTATGTAAACAATTTTCCCTTTGAAATTAGTGTTTTTAAATAATAAATTTTATGCATATATAGGGTTGGAAATTTTATTTATGGCTTTGGAAATCATCAAACCAGTGAACCGATTTTAACTGTCGATTAAACCAGCCAATCGTTGAGCCGATCCTAACTTTTAAGAACTAACTGATTCAATGCATAATCTACTTAAATAATTTAATTTAATATAAAATATTTTATTAAATATTAAATTAATTAAAATATTACACAATTTAGTTAAAATTTTTTGAAATTTTATATTCTTATGTACTAAGCATTAACTAATCATGTGCACATGATTCTACCTAGGGGTGTCAATTCGGGTCAGCGGGTCGGGTTTGGATCGAACCCGAATTGACCCGACTCTAAACGGGTCAACCCGAACCCGACCCGTTTTTATAAACGGGTCAACTTTTCAACCCGGACCCGACCCGCATGGGATGCCGGATTGACATGACCCAACCCGAATTTATAAAAAAAAAAACTCAAATGTCTTACGCCTGAGTTCTCGTGGCTCCTTTGGTTGTCTTACGCCTGAGTTCTCGTGGCTCGTTCGGTACGTGACAGGGCCGGTTCGGGACGGGCACATGCTACAGCGACGAGGTCGGTTCGGGATGAGGCAGGCACACCGCGGCAGGGCAGCTGGGCAGGCACGCACGCAGCAGCGACAGGGCTGATTCGGCCGTTCGGGACGAGCATCGCACAGGCATGCACACGCGACGGGCGACTACGCGAGACTCGACCGTCTTGACAGGCGTGCACGCGCGACTGTTCGGGAATCGGGACTCGCACCGCGCAGGCGTCGACGACTCGACATAACTTGACAGCTCACAACGTTAGACGTTCGGGCAGGGCGGGCAGCAGACTGGGCAGAGGATTTCCGGGCTAACCCGACCCGTTTCATAAACGAGTCGACCCAAACCCGGATTTTTCCAGGTCGGGTTCGGGTCGGGTTTCAGGTCGTGTCAAAAATTGACACCCCTAATTCTACCACCCCATCTGGGCTCTTTACCAATGGAAAAAAGGAAAGCTATACAAATTTCTAGAGGTCATTTCTAACATTTGGGGAAGATTTCAAGAGGTTTGAAATTGATTTGGTATAAAAATAAGAAAATGCTCCTAATTAAATAATTAAATAAATACAAAAGTACATCAAACTTCAATAATTCATAAATAATTCTAGAAAACTCCCAATTGAGCAAAAAACAAGGGCATTGGATTCATCTCAAGGTCTAGTCTTTATGAAAAATATATAAACACAAGAATTCACTATAAATCAAAAATTTAATATTTTGGTCAAACTTAATACATAAAATGTGACAAATTTGTAAATTTCATTACTAATTCAAGAAAGTCCAAATTCAATAAACTCAAATATTATCATATTTGGATTGGCACTATAATAATGTTTTAGTCATGCATTTATATTCACATTCAAGATAGAGGTACAATTAGTATTCCAAATGTAGATAGAAATTTGAGCGCTGTCTGTTAGAAAGTTGAAAAATAACATTTTGTATTGCAGTATTTGATAAATCAAGGTCAACGTAGAGATTTAAACATTGGTATATCTTCCAGAGTAGCCATAGCAACTTTTATAATAAGATTCATAAATATGCAAAATATCACATAATGGACTATGTTTAGTGATTTATATGGCATTTTCAAATTAAAGCCAATTTATAAGAATGCTTGTTTGGCCTAAGGGGAGATAAATTTTTTAATAATTTTATTTGGAATAAGAGTGCAAATTAGAGCTTTTTTAGAACAACAACAACATATCCTTTAGCCCGCTACATGGGGTCGGCTAAATGAATTCTTTTTCTCCATTGTGTCAAAAAAAAAAAAAAAACCCCCCAACAGGGAAAAAAAAAAAAAAAAAGAAAAAGGGAAAGAAATTCAAAAGGTTTTTTTTAAAAATTAAAGACACTTAACTTAATTCCTCATATTATGCACTCTTGTGCATCCCTTTATTCTAAAAATTAATTAAAAACACTCACCTTTAGTTTTCCAACTCATCTAGAATCTTTAATCTTCAAAATAAATATTAAAAAAGTTCAATAAGCTAAGAAGATCATTTATATCCTAAGTATTTCCAACACCTCTAATGAAATATCATCAAGTCTATAGCTTTTTAACATTTCATTTCTTTAAAAGTCTCACTAACATCGATTTTATAAACTCAACCGATAAAATAAAGTTTTTAACTTTCATTTAGAGTACTAACTAGTCATTAAAGAGTCAATCTTATTCTCCACAATCTTCATTGAAAAAAATTATCAAAATATTTCTCATTCACTTTGTTGATATCACCCTCTTCCTAATAAAAACACTTTTATTTTCATCTCATCCAATCACTTGAAATTAAATTTTTACTTCTCATATCTTTTGTAGGCTACTCTATACAAATAATCTTTCACCCTCGCTAATCACACTCACATCACTTCTATCATAATTTTATAAAAGTCAAACCTCTTTGTAAGCATATTGGTTTCTTAGACTTATTTAAACAGAATTTTATTTTTAATATCTTCCTCAATTTTTCAAGTTTGAAAATATAAACCAATTTTTTATAAACAACTTCTTGATTTTATCTTTTTACTACATAATTTAATTCCCATCAACTATTTTTACTATGAAACAATTATTCCCTTGGAAATTATGTGTTTTTAAATCAATAAAGTTTTATGCATATATAGGGTTTGAAATTTTATTTATGGCTTTGGAAATCATCAAACCAGTGAACCGATTTTAACATGTCGATTTACTCAAAACAGCCAATCGTTGAAGTCCGATCCTAACCCTTTTAAGACTAACTGATTCAATGCATAATCTATTAAATAATTTATAATTTAATATAATATATTTATTAAATATAAATTAATTAAAATATTACAACATTTAGTTAAATTTTTTTTGAACATTTTAATTCTTATGTAACTAGAGCATTACTAATGCATGTCGCACATGATTCTAACCTAGGAGGTTGTCAATTCGGGTCAGACGAGGTCGGGTTGAGTCGAACCCTGAGTATGACCCGAATCTCTAAACGGCTCACGCGAACCCCGACCCGTTTTTAATAACGCGGTCAAACTTTCAAACCGCGGACCCGACCCGCAGGGAGTGCCGATTGACATGAACCCAACCGGATTATAAAAAAAAAAAAACTCAATGCCCTTACGCCTCGAGTCTCCGTCGGCTCGTTTCGGTACTGCGACAGGGCCCGGTTCGGGACGGGCACATGCTACAAGCGCGAGGTCGGTTCGGGATGAGCAGGCGCAGCCGACGGCAGGGCACTGGGCAGTCAAGCACGCACGCGGCAGCGCAGGGCTGGTTCGGCCGTTCGGGACGAGCATCCGCAGCAGGCAGCATCAACGCGCGCGGCCGACCATACGCGAGAGACTCCGACCGTCTTGACAGGCGTGCACGCGCGATTGTTCGGGAAATCGGGAACCTCCGCACCGCGCAGGCGTCGACGCTCGACATAGATCTTGACATGCTCACCAACATTAGACGTTCTTGGGCAGGTTGGCTGCGGGAGGCAAGACTGGCAGGAGGTGATTTCCGGGCGAACCCGACCCGTTTCATAAAACGAGTCGACCAACGCCCGAATTTTTCGCAGGTCAGGGTTTCGGTTCGGGTTTCTAGGTCGTCGTCAAAATTGACACCCCTAATTCCTACCACCGCCATCTGGCGCTCTTACCAATGGAAAAAAAATGAAAGCCTATACAAATAATATAAGAAACCTCTGAAATAATGTGGTGAATAAATTAGTAGAAATTCCTACAATGTGTATATAATATTCAAATAAACTTTCAAGAAAATTTTTTAGAAAAAATTTGTATATAATATCAAATAAATTTGGTATATAACATATAGATATAAATTATACATAACTATATAACATACATTAATACTAATTTATATTAAATTTATACATGTGTATTAAATTTATATTAAATATAATAAATTTAAAAATTGGATTAAATTTAAAATTATAGAGACTATCATTTTGGTTTTTATTTTATTTTTTTTAGTAATAAATTTATATTTTTGCTTGATAATGGTACCATTGAAATAAATGTATAAATTAGCTATATCATTTATATGGATAAATTCTATCAAAATATTTAACTTAAATTAGTAATAATTCAAATATTAAATTAATTTACTTATATGTAATAAATTTAGATTTAAAATAAAGTTAAAAATATTTAAATTTAAAATTATAGAAAAAAAATATTATGCATGAATTCTCTTAATTTTTTAATCACATTTATATAATTATATTGTTTAGACATTATTTAAATAAATTTAATATTTATTATATCATCTAATTTGTTAGCTTTTCATATTATTATGATGTCTAAATTCTTTAAAATTATGAAAATTTTTTAATATTGATTATGATATTATTATTATTTTATATTTATTAATTAATATATTATTATTTATTACATCTTTCGTATCGACCATAATTGAATCGGTCAAACCATAAACCACTCTTTCAGGTTGGTTGTCGATGTGAGTTTCACACACATTGG